TCGTGGTGAGTACTAATTAGTGATTTTACATTGAAGGGAGCTTCAATTAGGGAGATACAAGTGTTTCCACTAAGTTCGCAAGAAGAAGAAGACAAGCAAAAGAGCATGAGTCAGGATAAGTATAAAATATCAATTTTACTCTAAAAATTACATATATATAGTTTCTCTCTGGAGAGGAGTAACCATCAATGTGAGAGAGAGTCTTTCTTGTTCAACTTCCATGATCGCTGTTTCTCGAGGTTATACTATTTTTCACAGCTTTCTCAAGACTTTATCTATGAAGTAACACCGTAGAGATAATTAATAGTGACAGTAAAGATAAACAAGTCAGCAAATTAGAGGGCCAGCAAGGAATAATGAATTATCTGATGGTAAGATATAGCTTTAGGTCAAAATAATCTCCCGAGATATCTGTTCCATACATTTCGCCTGTAATTGTGGGAGACAGGTTTGTAATTCCTCTTCCTGCGACATCTCTGTGCACCAGGATTCCTTGAATGCCACTCAGAAATATAGCTTCTATTCACATTTTCATTCCAGTGGCAAACAGCTAATTGAGATTTCATATTGTAAATACTGCCAGAAAATGAGATTCGTTTGTCTTGAAAAATATTCATAACATTATTGAACATTTCAACATAGAAAGTATCTTTAGCCAAACTGAAGTCGTCTGCATACTTGAAAATGATGGAATTTGTGATAACACCTTTCAACAATGACACAGCTTTCTCGCTTGTGAGCACTATACGTGATGGTTCATAGTTCGGATCTTCCTTGCACCTTGAGGATGGGCTGCAATTAGAATGATTGTTCTTATAATGTTCAATAACATTTATGAGTGAGGATCTCAGATTCTCGCTGTCACCGTTACAACTCCGAATGGCGTGATGGAAGTGTGTAGCAACAGGTTGCACTTTGTCTGACAGCTGTTCATGCCAGGTACTGCCATGCTTGTACTTTGGTCCCGTGGATACAACAGAAAGGGATTTGGCTACTGATTTACGCCATGCCATATGTCATTTTGGTTGATTGTTCCACTGTCTCGAATGAGTTTATTTACAGACAGGTTTCTGTCGTGGGTGTAGTACATTAACATGGACATTTCTCTCTTCGAGGTACTTGTATATCTCCACTGTTCCAATCCTTTCGTGCCGCTGCGAAACAGGATCATTCTGTTTGGTAATATGTTGGCATGTTAACACCTTATGTGTGTAGTCACCAATGGCCACCACACTACTATCCTTGGCATTTTTCCTCCAACCATGACGAGCGTCTGTCATGATGTTGATGCCGTCCAAATCTTCATAACCAGCAACTTCTTCTAACAATGAAGTTTCACACGAGTCAGTATATTCTGCCTGAACACAAGCCTTATAGGTGGTAAGTTGTTGTTCTCTGTATTTCCGTGACAGATTACCAATCCCTGCAACTGAACAGAACCTTTGGTACTGAACTGGTAACATACCACAGCTGTAAAAAGCATGTCCAACCTTGTCATTCACAAGAAATTTGTTGTCTGGTAGGTAGGGTGATGACGCCAGACGATACTGGTGTGACTTGCGCAGCGAACCTTCATCTTCATTACATGGCCACCATAACTGACTTGTGTAACAGTCAATTTATTGGAACATTTTCGTCCATGCTTCTCTGCTACATCCCGACACATTTTCATGGATGATTCAGATATGATGAAAAATTTGTCATCAGAGTCACCTGGTCTGGCTGTCAGGTATGTGGTGGATCTTCTGGGGCAGTCACACCATGGTGCTGGAGATAATATGACAGCACCCGGTCCAGAACCTCAGCATTATTAGCAGGCTTGTTTGTCTCTGCTTTTAGGTGTGCTTTCACTTGTTTCAGTTTTTGGAGAATACCTTGCTTGACTTCTTGATCACCAGGTATTTCGATTGTAAAACGAGCACTTCGCTTACTTCCACTCACAGGTCTGTTTCTATGGAAACACACCTCCTCTGACCTCCTGACTGACACAGTGGCAAATTCAAATCTGGATTTCAAAAAGAGATTATATATTTTTAAAATGCAGGTTTTGTACACTGTCTGCATCAACACTTTTTGCAGTGTGTCTTCATAACATACTTGTTTACACTATGGCTTAATTTCATCAAAAACCGGTAAGTCAATTTTGTGATATTTCATGGAATGTACTTGAATACTGCATTGCTTTGCATTGAAAGACAGCTTTGGCAAGGCAGGAGGCCACACCCCATCTGTGTATAGGTTTGAACTCCGGCCTTTAAAAGGAAGCTGTATACTACACAAGTTAGACTAAGGCTTAGTCTCTGAATATATATAATTTTGATAGTAACAAACAAGCCCATTTATATTGAAAAGGAACCCCAGGGAGACCAGAGATTCAGAGCCTGAACCTGAGGAAATCTAGACTTGCTTTATTTAGGGCTTTAGCACCGCAGAGAAGGCTTGGCAGTAGGAAAAAATAATATGGTTCAGGGACTGTGAGACAGACTATACACAAATGTGCATGCCTCCCCTGTCAGCCAATGGCAATGTTAGATATATTTAGATTGGGGTGTCCTATTGAAGTACTACGAGTTGTATAGTGGTTGGGTTCGTGTTAGTAATTGGCATTGTGGTGGAAGTGGAGGGTGTTGGGTTGGTATTAGTGATTGGCAGTGTGGGTGGAAGTGTTGGGTTGGTGTTAGTAATTGGCAGTGTGGGTGGAAGTGGAGGGTGTTGGGTTGGTGTTAGTGATTGCCAGTGTGGGTGGAAGTGTTGGGTTGGTGTTAGTGATTGGCAGTGTGGGTGGAAGTGGAGGGTGTTGGGTTGGTGTTAGTGATTGGCAGTGTGGGTGGAAGTGGTGGGTGTTGGGTTGGTGTTAGTGATTGGCAGTGTGGGTGGAAGTGGAGGGTGTTGGGTTGGTGTTAGTGATTGGCAGTGTGGGTGGAAGTGGAGGGTGTTGGGTCGGTGTTAGTGATTGGCAGTGTGGGTGGAAGTGGTGGGTGTTGGGTTGGTGTTAGTGATTGGCAGTGTGGGTGGAAGTGGAGGGTGTTGGGTCGGTGTTAGTGATTGGCAGCGTGGGTGGAAGTGGAGGGTGTTGGGTTGGTGTTAGTGATTGGCAGTGTGGGTGGAAGTGGAGGGTGTTGGGTTGGTGTTAGTGATTGGCAGTGTGGGTGGAAGTGGAGGGTGTTGGGTCGGTGTTAGTGATTGGCAGTGTGGGTGGAAGTGGTGGGTGTTGGGTCGGTGTTAGTGATTGGCAGTGTGGGTGGAAGTGTTGGATCGGTGTTAGTGATTGGCAGTGTGGGTGGAAGTGTTGGATCGGTGTTAGTGATTGGCAGTGTGGGTGGAAGTGTTGGGTCGGTGTTAGTGATTGGCAGCGGTGGTAGGAAGTGTTGGATTGGGTGAAGTGTTAGTGATTGTCGGTGTTAGTGTGCAGTGTGGTGTGAAGTGTTGGATCGGTGTTAGTGATTGGCAGTGTGGGTGGAAGTGTTGGATCGGTGTTAGTGATTGGCAGTGTGGGTGGAAGTGTTGGATCGGTGTTAGTGATTGGCAGTGTGGGTGGAAGTGTTGGATCGGTGTTAGTGATTGGCAGTGTGGGTGGAAGTGTTGGATCGGTGTTAGTGATTGGCAGTGTGGGTGGAAGTGTTGGATCGGTGTTAGTGATTGGCAGTATTGGTGGAAGTGTTGGATCGGTGTTAGTGATTGGCAGTGTGGGTGGAAGTGTTGGATCGGTGTTAGTGATTGGCAGTGTGGGTGGAAGTGTTGGATCGGTGTTAGTGATTGGCAGTGTGGGTGGAAGTGTTGGATTGGTGTTAGTGATTGGCAGTATTGGTGGAAGTGTTGGATCGGTGTTAGTGATTGGCAGTGTGGGTGGAAGTGTTGGATCGGTGTTAGTGATTGGCAGTGTGGGTGGAAGTGTTGGATCGGTGTTAGTGATTGGCAGTGTGGATGGAAGTGTTGGGTCGGTGTTAGTGATTGGCAGTGTGGGTGGAAGTGTTGGATCGGTGTTAGTGATTGGCAGTGTGGGTGGAAGTGTTGGATCGGTGTTAGTGATTGGCAGTATGGTAGGAAGTGTTGGATCGGTGTTAGTGATTGGCAGTGTGGGTGGAAGTGTTGGGTCGGTGTTAGTGATTGGCAGTATTGGTGGAAGTGTTGGATCGGTGTTAGTGATTGGCAGTTTGGGTGGAAGTGTTGGATCGGTGTTAGTGATTGGCAGTATTGGTGGAAGTGTTGGATCGGTGTTATTGATTGGCAGTGTGGGTGGAAGTGTTGGGTCGGTGTTAGTGATTGGCAGTATTGGTGGAAGTGTTGGATCGTCGTTAGTGATTGGCAGTGTGGGTGGAAGTGTTGGATCGGTGTTAGTGATTGGCAGTGTGGGTGGAAGTGGTGGGTGTTGGGTTGGTGTTAGTGATTGGCAGTGTGGGTGGAAGTGGAGGGTGTTGGATCGGTGTTAGTGATTGGCAGTATGGGTGGAAGTGTTGGATCGGTGTTAGTGATTGGCAGTGTGGGTGGAAGTGGTGGGTGTTGGGTCGGTGTTAGTGATTGGCAGTGTGGGTGGAAGTGGAGGGTGTTGGGTTGGTGTTAGTGATTGGCAGTATGGTTGGAAGTGTTGGGTTTGTGTTAGTGATTGGCAGTGTGGGTGGAAGTGGTGGGTGTTGGGTTGGTGTTAGTGATTGGCAGTATTGGTGGAAGTGGTGGGTGTTTAGGATGGACCCTGTGGGTGGACTTGGTGGTTGTTGGGTCAGTGTAGTGTTAGTGATCGGCAGTATGGGTAGAAGTGGTGGGTGGTGAGTCGGTTTTGGTGTTAGTGAATCAGCAATATTCTGTAATTTGTTTGTCAAAGTTTTCAACATTGAATGGTAATGTTTCTCCGGTAATGTGTTATGATTATTTGATTCTCATTCATTTGAACATATTACATTTTCCCACAGTGACAACACAGCATCCTGCTGACTTGCGTTGATTATTTTTTACTTGAATATCATTAAAGAATTTTTGTTTAAAGCTGCTGTTATCTGATTCAGTGTCCAAACCTCAGTCCCGTGAGGCAACCCCTCCTGCCAGGGTTGCTCCATCTGCTCCACTCTCATCAGCCCCTAACGAAGCCGTGGAGAAAGTCAAGGTGGCAGGGATCCCAGATGTGCCCATTGTCCTTGTCATGGGTAAGTCACTGACTTAAGTACTAACTTCTTGACAACTTATCATAACACCTAGCATGCCCATCATACTTATTATGGGTAGGATGCAGGCTAAAGTACTAGGTTCCTTACAACATATCATAATACTTGAGTTGCCCATTGTCCTTGTGATGAATAAGTCACAGGCTAAAGATACAATCTTCCTTGTAACATTTCCTAACACCTAATGTATCCATTTTCCTAGTGATGGATAAGTCACAGGCTAAAGATAACTATCTTTCTTGTAACATTTCCTAACACCTAATGTATCCATTGTCCTATTGATGGATAAGTCACAGGCTAAAGATAACTATCTTTCTTGTAACATTTCCTAACACCTAATGTATCCATTGTCCTAGTGATGGATAAGTCACAGACTAAAGATGCTAACTGAGGTTTGCTGACAATGTGTCATAATACCTAATGTGCTAAGTGTTTTGTAATAAATAAGTTAAAACCTGAAACTAATAGCTTCCTTACAACATACAATAATACATAATGTGCTGATAAGTCACAGACGAAAGCTTCCAGATCACTTGCAACATATCTTGATATGAGATGTGTCAGTTGTCAATGTGTTACTTAGGCTGTGAATTAGAAATACTTACCTATTACCACACCAGGAGTGGCCACAACATCCTTGTCCAATAAACAATATTCTCTTTCAAGCTAAAGGCACACTTCATTTTGTTATCATTTTGTCTTTAAGTTTTATGATAAGTTTAGATGGCAAGTGACAGAAGTAACTGATACAGACATAAAATGCTCGCAAATCCTAGGAAGTTAATTGTTATTTTAATTGCTTGATTATCAGATCAATTTAAGTTCAAGTCGTATTTGGGGCACGTTCACATATTCTCCAGTGTTTGGCGTGCGTATGAAGGCGTATAATGTAATTTGTAGCATTGTGATGAGGGGTATATGGGGTTTTATGCATCCTTGTTAGGTTTTATCCACCAAGCCCCCGACTTGGTAGATAAAACCTAATGAGGGACGCATAAAATCCTGCCACAACAAATTTATCTTACCAAATGTTTGAATCTCTCATTATGTAAATATAACATGAAAACAAACTGAAATTCAATTATTTATTTAACTAAAATGGTACTGACTAGTCGATCGGAACCACTGGTTCACAGTTCACTGGCTGCCGTGGATGCATACCTTTTCCATGGGGCGGGGTATAAATGATTTATTCTCCCTCGCAATGATTTCTACCCCACTTGGGCGGTGTACGGCCATGCACCAGGCATACATGGTAATTTGTTCAAGGTCACATGAACCAATCAGAGATGGGCATTCTTACATGAGGTGAGATGATGCTGCTTGTTGTTTCAGGTGGGCCAGGGTGTGGCAAACTGACCCAGATTGAGAAGCTGCTTACACACGTGGAAGGCTGGATCCACATCTCTATGGGCGACCTCATCAGACAGGAAGTGTCTGAAAAAGGCACTGGGGAGGAGAAGTGGAAGATGGTCGGTGACCTCATGTCTCGAGGCGAGATGGTCTCGGAGGTGAATATATATCATATTTATGAAAAATTATAATATTTTAACTAGGGCTGGGACGGGTAGGAAAAAATGGAATCGAGTACCCACATGTACTTACCCGAATCGGAATCGAGTACCCGGAAATGTAAGGAATAAAGCGCTTTTGTCAACTTTCTGAATATTCAATCACGAGTTGACGGATATTTTTATACAAACCTTGAAAGGATGGCAATAAGACAATGAAACTGAATGTAGGCTATTTAATTTACATCTGTTTAACAAATATAGAGAGTAACACCTCGTTAAAACACAGGACTTTTCGTTACCACTGTTACTGTAACTTAACTCCTCACTGCTCATGCTCAGATATATTACAGTCGTTAATAATGACCTCCATTAATCGGACAATACCAGTGATTCAAATATGTGTTACGTCAATAATGAAAAAGACAAGTTATTATGTACCCTTGCCATTACAGAGTTCTCTCCTTTTCCGGGTACTCGATTCCTAAAATTAGTACTCGATTCCATCTGTACCCGACGCGGATTCGAGTACCCGACTACCCATCCCAGCCCTAATTTTAACTGATTGTGATCAAATGTTTAGGTTTCTTTTGATTACTTCTGTGAGTCTATTACATACTGGAAGTCTGCGCAAAACACTCAGTCACATCGTCCAGAGTTATCTTTTGGCAACATTTTCATTACAGATTGTGTTGATCTGACTGTTTCCACTAAGCCCAATGTACTCTGGCTTCATGGTTGACAGATTTCTTTGTGTGTACAATAGGGTAGGTTGTTGAATTAAATGGAGATATCATGTACTGATATTGCGGTTATGATTCTCCTTATTCAGGAAGATACCTGTGACCTGTTTGTCAGAACACTTCAGAAGAACACAGCAGCCAAGGGCTACATCATCGAAGGCTACCCCCGGGACATAAAACAGGTTGAAGATTATGAGAACACTGTAAGTTCAACTTGACCACTGTTTTGCTGACTTAAGTCTATGCTGACCTTGACCTCATTCAATACACTGTAAGATAGCCTTGTCCCAAACTAGAATACTAGAAGTTGACCTTGTCCCCTTTATAAAACTGTAGGCTGACCTTGACATCCATCAGAACACTATTAGTTCAACTTGTCCCCTACAGAGGATTGTATGCAGACCTTGACCTCTTGCCAGAACACGGTAAAATGACCTTGACACCCACAAGAATTCTATGAGTTGATCTTGTACCCTTTAGAGCACTTTATGTTGACCTTGACAACCTCCAGAACATTGACCTTTATCACATGTGACCTTTAACACATGTGACACATGTCATGTTCACCGTATCATGTTCTATATTCATATAACATGTGGATCACTTCGACCTTGTGATGTTGTGACTTGGGATGCATTTATAATGTGACGTCTTAATGTCAGGTGGGTCGCGTTGACCTTGTGATGGTCATTGACTGTGAGGAGTCCTTCCTTTCAAAACGCATGTTGAAGCGTGGTGCCACCGAAAGTCGCCTTGACTATAACATTGAGGCAGTACAGAAGGGATCCTGCACTTCAAGCAACAAACACTGCCGGCCATAAAACATTTTGACGACCAGGGGAAAGTCAAGATCGTGAGTACACCACACCGTCTAACAGAAAAAGATATCTTGAAGCCATTGCTCAGCACAGATCAATGTTTTGACCTCTAACATACCATAACACTAACAATTAGCCAGCTAGGATATAGTCCTGCCCATAGAGACCCGTGAAGATCCAGGTTAGAATTGGTGTTCAGTAACCCATGCTTGTCGCAAGAGGCGACTAACGGGGTTAGGTGGTCAGGCTTGCTGACTTTGTTGACACATGTCATCGTGTCCCAGTTGTCTAGATCAATGCTCATGTTGTTGATCACTGGATTGTCTGGTCCGTACTGATTATATACATACTGCTGCCATATAGCTGGAATAATGCTGAGTGCAGCATTAAACAACATCACCAAACCAACCAACCAACCAGCCAACCAACCATCCTGCCCACAGACAGTGTGGAAAGGACATTTAAATCCAGTTCTGAAGTCAAGATTGTGAAGTATGAGATGTGTTACCACTGGCTGAATATTTCTCTTTACAGAAACAAGTTATTGCTGTCTTGAACATGAGTGGGAGCAGTACTTTCATTTTAACAGAGTTTGAGCATTTTTTTTATTTTGAAATGGTATATTGTATTAACACTGTCTCTTGCATGTTTCAGTTTGAGGGAGACCAAGAGTCTGAATCTTTAGGCCAGGAGATGGGAGCAGTGTTTGACTCCATCATTCTCGGAAAGGAGGGTGTTCGAAGTAAGTTATGCTGGTTGTCTCTCCCAGTAGGGCATGATGTGGTATTCAGGGATGAAATTTTCTGCGGATTTAATTGCACTGGGGTCATTGGATCTGGCATGGGGACCTGTGGCCCCATCTCTATTTTCACTCATACCCATTGTCATCCCTGGGTATTATTCATTGTCATTATTCTCAAAAAGACGGTTCCCCCAGCGTTTATATTGTGTTCTCTGGGTATGTCCGACCAATTTAAGTCCAGTTTTCCCAAGTATACCGTTCCAGGAAACAGTCACCTAAGGTGTTGAAATAAGCTGTTCAAAATTGCTTCCCTTGGCCAGAAACTTGTGATGGGTTTGAATCCCAGTTCACCCTGAGTATGTTTTAGGTTTGTAAGCACCATAACAATGCTTGTGAGTTTCACCAAAGCCTTAAATATCTGACACCTGCCTCACTTTGGGTTTCAAACCCCAGGGTATACCTAGAATACTGTGGACAGGCCATTAAGCTCACCCATCCCGGTGTTTGCCCCATGTTCCCTGTATTCAACTTGTCTTCTCCAACTTTTGCCTATGTTCCGCCTGTGTTCTCCCTGCGTTCCCTCATTGTTCCCCCTGTTTCTCAGTAATTGCCTAGTCTTCTGCAATCTTCTCCCTCTCTGTCCACAGTGCCGACCCCTCCCTCAAAACCAAAACCAGAACGTCAGAGAAGTGCGAAGGTACGCACACCCAACAAAGAGGCATCGGCCACCAATGATGGGGACATCCCTGACCTCCCTGCTGTCCCGGATAACTTGCCGCCTGCAGTGATCAATGTCAAAGATGAAGGTCGCAAGTCAGGATTTCCTGAATGTCCAATCATATTTGTAGCAGGTAGGCCTTGTGTGTTTAGAAACAAGTAAGAAAAATATAAGAACAGATTCCTTTACCAAACACACTCTCCGCCATTCCTTTCACTCATTGATATTACAGTGGAAACCTGATAAGTAAAATTTAAAGGGACTCGCCAAAATTGTTTACTTATCAGGTATTTTACTTATCCAAACTTATCAAAACCTGCAAATGACAACCATATGCATGTATATGTATACAGCAGAATAACAGACATTTGTAAGTAATATGACATGTTTTATTCCATAAAATTTCATGGAGTTAAGCAATACCTGTATAATACAGCTGTAAGTAGGATGTTTGTTTAACTGGAGACTGACACGTGCCCCTCATGTCAGATTATGTGGTGATCGCTAATTTAGTTATCCGGTCTCTTTTGTTAAGTAATATACTTCCAGGGACCGTGAGAAGACATTTAGTTAAGCGGTATTGTTTACTTATCCGAGTTTAGTTAACCAGAGTCTTATAGTGATCATTAATGAAGAAATTTGCCAGGACCAAAGAATAGTGTTTACTTATCCGGTCTGTTTAGTTAAGCGGTCTTTACTTAGGCGGTTTCCACTGTATTAATTAATTAGGGCCATTGCGTCATTTCATAGCATGCTACAGATAGAACGTATGTGCTTCTTGAAAAGATGAGGTAATAGCAGGATGTGTGCAGTAGCAAGTATTGTGTATCAACATTCAACACTCAGCTGGCTCATGTTTTGACTTTTCGGTTAATATATTACCATGATTTACCGGTACAGGGTTATGTCCCTTTGAGGGACCAGGATCTGATGAATGTGTGTTTGTATGGTATAATGACCCTGGCTATGACTCCCTAGTTTGGTAGAACCTATAACCATGTCCAAATTGTAAACATAAAGACATGTATCCCAGTAGGCTTAACCATCTACATGAGCTGCTTACTCGTGAAGATCCAGGTTAGAATTGATCTTCAGTAACCCAGGCTTGTCGTAACAGGCGACTAACGGGATCGGGCGGTCAGGCTCGTTGACTTGGTTGACACATGTCATCGTATCCCAATTGTGTAGATCGTCGCTCATGCGGTTGATTACTGAATTGTCTGGTCCAGATTCGATTATTTATAGTCCACCGCCATATAGCTGGAATATTGCTGAATGCGGTGTAAACTCACTCACTCACTCACATGAGCTGCTGACATGTGACGATAGGACTGAAAGCTCACGAATGCTACTCACTCACTAATGAAAGAGACTAGAATGTACATGTCAAACTATCCCTTACTGTAGCTTTTATCACCCAGGTGGACCTGGAAGTGGTAAAGGCAGCCAGTGTAAGAGAATTGTGGAGCGTTATGACAACGTCATTCACCTCTCCATGGGTGACATCCTCCGTACTGAGATCTCCACCAAGGGCACTGCTGATGAAAAGTGGGATATGATCAGCAGCCTGCTTCAGAAGGGAGACATGGCTCCAGAGGTAGGCAGATGTCAAGCAGGGGGACTTGGTTCAAGAAGTAGGCAGACATCTGGGGGAGGGAAGACATGGCTCCAGAGGTAGGCAGATGTGCATCAGGGAGACATGGTTCAAGAAGTAGGCAGACATCTGGGGAAGGGGTGACATGGCTCCAGAGGTAGGCAGATGTGCATCAGGGGACATGGTTCAGGAGTAGGCAGACATCTGGGGGAGGGGGACATGGCTCCAGAGGTAGGCAGATGTGTATCAGGGAGACATGGTTCAAGAAGTAGGCAAACATCTGGGGGAGAGGAGACATGGCTCCAGAGGTAGGCAGATGTGCATCAGGGAGACATGGTTCAAGAAGTAGGCAAACATCTGGGGGAGGGGAGACATGGCTCCAGAGGTAGGCAGATGTGCATCAGGGAGACATGGTTCAAGAAGTAGGCAGACATCTGGAGGAGGGGAGACATGGCTCCAGAGGTAGGCAGATGTGCATCAGGGAGACATGGTTCAAGAAGTAGGCAAACATCTGGGGGAGGGGAGACATGGCTCCAGAGGTAGGCAGATGTGCATCAGGGAGACATGGTTCAAGAAGTAGGCAAACATCTGGGGGAGGGGAGACATGGCTCCAGAGGTAGGCAGATGTGCATCAGGGAGACATGGTTCAAGAAGTAGGTAGACATCTGGGGAGGGGAGACATGGCTCCAGAGGTAGGCAGATGTGCATCAGGGAGACATGGTTCAAGAAGTAGGCAGACATCTGGGGGAGGGGGACATGGCTCAAGAGGTAGGCAGATGTGCATCAGGGAGACATGGTTCAAGAAGTAGGCAAACATCTGGGGGAGAGGAGACATGGCTCCAGAGGTAGGCAGATGTGCATCAGGGAGACTTGGTTCAAGAAGTAGGCAGACATCTGGGGAGGGGAGACATGGCTCCAGAGGTAGGCAGATGTGCATCAGGGGACTTGGTTCAAGAAGTAGGTAGACATCTGGGGGAGGGGACATGGCTCCAGAGGTAGGCAGATGTGCATCAGGGAGACATGGTTCAAGAAGTAGGTAGACATTTGGGGGAGGAGGGAAATGGCTCCAGAAGTAGGTAGATGTGCATCAGGGAGACATGGTTCAAGAAGTAGGTAGACATCTGGGGAGGAGGAAGACATGGCTCCAGAGGTAGGCAGATGTGCATCAGGGAGACATGGTTCAAGAAGTAGGCAAACATCTGGGGGAGGGAAGACATGGCTCCAGAGGTAGGCAGATGTGCATCAGGGAGACTTGGTTCAAGAAGTAAGCAGGCAGGGGGGAGGGGGGAGACATGGCTCCAGAGGTAGGCAGGCATGTGCATCAGGGAGACTTGGTTCAAGAAGTAGGCAGACATCTGGGGGAGGGGAGACATGGCTCCAGAGGTAGGCAGATGTGCATCAGGGAGACATGGTTCAAGAAGTAGGCAAACATCTGGAGTGTCGGCAGACAGGCAGACTTCTGAGGGCAGAGTAGGGCAGAATGTAGCTGGAATTCATCAGAAATATTTCTGGAAAATGGGTCGAATATTTGTGAAATATTGTTGGAATATCATTGGAATGTATCTTGATTATTGCTGTAATGTTGCCAAAGGTTTATCTGGAATGTTGCCATTATTTGGCTCAGAACGACTGTCTCCATATTGTTTGTATTTCGTCTGCAGTGTTCACCATGAACTATGTTATCTGTTCAGGATGTGACAATTGACCTGCTGACAACAAACATACAAAAGCATCCTGATGCCCGGGCGTTCATCATCGAGGGCTACCCCCGGGATGAGAGACAGTTGGAGGAGTTCAACAAACATGTAGGTTACCACATTCCTACACTTCTGTCCCAACTCTTCATTTATTAACCTTTACACTCCCATTGAGTAAAAATGTCCCACCTCCCATATATTATTTCATATATCAGCCATGAAGATCCAGGTTAGAATTGGTTTTGAGCAACCCATGCTTGACGTAAGAGGCGACTTGGGTGATCTGACTTGGTTGACACATGCCATCGTATCCCAGTTGCGTAGATCAATGCTCATGCTGTTGATCACTGGATTGTGTTGTCCAGACATCATTGTTTACAGACCACGCTGTACAGCTCAAATACTGAGTGTGGCATTAAACAAAAAACAAACAAAACAAAAACACCCAGTGTCCGTCCCATATGCTTGCCCATTATACCCATTCAAATGATGAACTTGTAAACCTCCTCCCTATGATAACACCCACCAATGACCGATGACAACCTTGCCTCATCCTCTGGCAGATCGGTGGTCTGAGCTTCGTTGTGGTGCTGGACTGTGAGGAGTACTAGGAGGAAAAGGAAGGAAATAAGGATGGAAGGAAGGACATAAACAGAAAGGAATGGAAAGGAAGGAAGAAAGGACTCAGGAAGGAAAGGATGGAGTGTGGGATGGAAAGGGGCCATCAATTCACATCTCCCCGATGGACGGGCACTTCCGGAACCCATTGATAGGAGTTTGAGCATGAATTCCTGTCCCTTGGCTCCAACTCTTCACATTGAACCAACATGGAATGGATGGATGCATGCACTTGTTTATTGAAGAGCCCTTGTTGAGTGTAAGCAGAATCTGTTTCAAGAGCTTTGGAGTTCACCATGGTAGTGAGTATATTCTGTGATGAACATTTACTGTCGCAAGTTCGTCTCACACATCCTTTCAGCAGATTTTATTATCATTTTAATACACATTTGGATATCCCTATTATACAAATGTGGGCTGGAGTAGTGATACATTCAATGATATTCAATACACTTCATTGAAGGGTTGAAGCAATATATAAATTTAATGATATCCATATTAAACCAATGAAGGGCTGAAGTAGTGATACAGTTAATGATATCAATGTTAAACCAATCAATGGTTGAAGTAGTGATACAGATTAATGATATCAATGTTAAAACCAATGAAGGGGTTACAGCAGTGATACAGTTGATGATATCAATGTTAAACCAATGAAGGGTTACGTAGTGATACAGTTGATGATATCAATGTTAAAACCAATGAAGGGTTACAGCAGTGATACAGTTATTGATATCAATGTTGAACCAATGAAGGGTTACAGCAGTGATACAGTTATTGATATCAATGTTAAAACCAATGAAGGGTTACAGCAGTGATACAGTTAATGATATCAATGTTAAACCAATGAAGGGTTACAGCAGTGATACAGTTGATGATATCAATGTTAAACCAATGAAGGGTTACAGCAGTGATACAGTTGATGATATCAATGTTAAACCAATGAAGGGGTTCACGGTAGTGATACAGTTAATGATATCAATGTTAAACCAATGAAGGGTTACAGTAGTGATACAGTTGATGATATCAATGTTAAACCAATGAAGGGTTACAGTAGTGATACAGTTGATGATATCAATGTTAAACCAATGAAGGGTTACAGTTGTGATACAGTTAATGATATCAATGTTAAACCAATGAAGGGTTACAGTAGTGATACAGTTAATGATATCAATGTTAAACCAATGAAGGGTTACAGTAGTGATACAGTTGATGATATCAATGTTAAACCAATGAAGGGTTACAGTAGTGATACAGTTATTGATATCCATATTAAACCAGTGAAGAGTTGAAGTAGTGATACAGTTAATGATATCAATGTTAAACCAATGAAGGGTTACAGTAGTGATACAGTTGATGATATCCATCGTCAACCAATCAATGGTTGCAGTTGTGATGCAGTTAATGATATCAATGTTAAACCAATGAAGGGTTACAGTAGTGATACAGTTATTGATATCCATATTAAACCAGTGAAGAGTTGAAGTAGTGATACAGTTAATGATATCAATGTTAAACCAATGAAGGGTTACAGTAGTGATACAGTTGATGATATCCATATTAAACCAGTGAAGAGTTGAAGTAGTGATACAGTTAATGATATCAATGTTAAACCAATGAAGGGTTACAGTAGTGATACAGTTATTGATATCCATATTAAACCAGTGAAGAGTTCAATGTAGTGATACAGTTATTGAGATCAATGTTAAACCAATGAAGGGTTACAGCAGTGATACAGTTAATGATATCAATCTTCAACCAAGCAATGGTTGAAGTAGTGATACAGTTAATGATGTCTGTATTCAACCAAGTAATGGCTGCAGTAGTGATACAGTCACTAACATGCATATCAAATCAATGGAGGGCTGAAGCAATTATAAATTTAATGACATTAAACCAATGAAGGATTGGAGTAGTGATACAGTTGATGATATCAATGTTAAAACCAATGAAGGGTTACAGCAGTGATACAGTTGATGATATCCATATTAAACCAGTGAAGAGTTGAAGTAGTGATACAGTTAATGATATCAATGTTAACCAATGAAGGGTTATGGTAGTGATACACAGTTGATGATATCCATATTAAACCAGTGAAGAGTTGAAGTAGTGATACAGTTAATGATATCAATCGTTAACCAATCAATGGTTGCAGTTGTGATACAGTTAATGATATCAATGTTAAACCAATGAAGGGTTACAGTAGTGATACAGTTATTGATATCCATATTAAACCAGTGAAGAGTTGAAGTAGTGATACAGTTAATGATATCAATGTTAAACCAATGAAGGGTTACAGTAGTGATACAGTTAATGATATCCATATTAAACCAGTGAAGAGTTGAAGTAGTGATACAGTTAATGATATCAATGTTAAACCAATGAAGGGTTACAGTAGTGATACAGTTGATGATATCCATCGTCAACCAATCAATGGTTGCAGTTGTGATACAGTTAATGATATCCATATTAAACCAATTAATGGCTGCAGTAGTGATACAGTCACTAACATGCATATCAAATCAATGGAGGGCTGAAGCAATTATAAATTTAATGACATTAAAACCAATGAAGGATTGGAGTAGTGATACAGTTATTGATATCAATGTTAAACCAATGAAGGGTTACAGTAGTGAAAAGTTAGTGATATTTGTATTCAACCAATTAATGGTTGCAGTAGTGATACAGTTAATGAGATCAATGTTAAACCAATAAAGGGTTACAGTAGTGAAAAGTTAGTGATATTTGTATTCAACCAATTAATGGTTTGCAGTAGATATACAGTTAATGATATCAATGATAAACCAATGAAGGGTTACAGTAGTGAAAAGTTAGTGATATTTGTATTCAACCAATTAATGGTTGCAGTAGTGATACAGTTAATGAGATCAATGTTAAACCAATGAAGGGTTACATTAGTAAAACAGTTAGTGATATTTGTATTCAACCAATTAATGGTTGCAGTAGTGATACAGTTAATGATATCCATATTAAACCAATAAAGGGTTACAGTAGTGAAAAGTTAGTGATATTTGTATTCAACCAATTAATGGTTGCAGTAGTGATACAGTTAATGAGATCAATGTTAAACCAATGAAGGGTTACATTAGTAAAACAGTTAGTGATATTTGTATTCAACCAGTTAATGGTTGCAGTAGTGATACAGTTAATGAGAGATCAATGTTAAACCAATAAAGGGTTACAGTAGTGAAAAGTTAGTGATATTTGTATTCAACCAATTAATGGTTGCAGTAGTGATACAGTTAATGAGATCAATGTTAAACCAATAAAGGGTTACAGTAGTGAAAAGTTAGTGATATTTGTATTCAACCAATTAATGGTTGCAGTAGTGATACAGTTAATGAGATCAATGTTAAACCAATAAAGGGTTACAGTAGTGAAAAGTTAGTGATATTTTGTATTCAACCAATTAATGGTTGCAGTAGTGATACAGTTAATGATATCAATGTTAAACCAATGAAGGGTGACAGTAGTGAAAAGTTAGTGATATTTGTATTCAAACCAGTTAATGGTTGCAGTAGTGATACAGTTAATGAGATCAATGTTAAACCAATAAAGGGTTACAGTAGTGAAAAGTTAGTGATATTTGTATTCAACCAATTAATGGTTGCAGTAGATATACAGTTAATGATATATCAATGTTAAACCAATAAAGGGTGACAGTGAGTGAAAAGTTAGTGATATTTGTATTCAACCAATTAATGGTTGCAGTAGTGATACAGTTAATGATCTCCAATATGAATCAATGAAGGGTTGAAGCAATTATCAAGTTAATCATATCCATTGAAACAGTGAAGGGTTGAAGTAGTGAAACAATTAATGATATCCATATTAAACCAATGAATAGTTACAGTAGTTGCCTCTTCACGACAAGCATGGGTTACTGAAGGGCAATTCTAACCCGGACCTTCACAGGTGTCAAATCAATGAAGTATAGTAATATGTTAATGGTATCTATATTAAATGTTTGATTGTTGTTTAACACGCACTCAGCAATATTCAAGCTGTATGTCAGCGGTTTTGTAAATAATCAAGTTTGCAACATACAACCCAGTGATCAACAGCATGAGCATCGATCTCAAACTAATAGTGAATAAAGAGGTGTGTCAAACAAGCCAGCACGCCAGGCCATCTGATCGCATTAGTCGCTTCTTTAACAAGCAACGGTTGCTGAAGACCAATTCTAACTTCCATAATTGACCAGGATGAAGACCAGGCCCCGTTCCTCAAAGCGTCGTGGCGCATGATAGTCATAAGTCTATGTTAAAGTATGGGAGTTACGATCATCTAAAGTGCAACAATAAGCTTTGAGGAACGGGGGGCCCTGGATGTGTGTTGAAGCAGTTGATAAGTAAATAGAGTTAATGATATGTGTTGCAACTCATGGTGTTAACAATATCAAGTGGTATGTGAAACATTCGAGTTGATAACTTAAAATGATTTTCTTTTATTCCCTTTCCTTGATGAAAACCCTGGGCATATTGAGACATGCAGATTGTGGATGTCAGATTCTTTGTTTGAGGAAGTTGTGATTAATACACTACCACCAGGAAGTGAGAATGCTACTGCTGCAGGAAGGATGATCACAGATGATGTTATTTCATCTAATGAACCAGGAACACAGCTCAGCCATGCTGAGATAATCAGGGGGAATTCCATCTGGCCATGTTGTGTTACTATAAATAGCCTGACATTGATGTAACCATGGTGATGACCTTGACTCGTCAGCATCTCTTATCTTCAAACACTTTAAACCACTTTGTGTTTAATCAATCAATACACATTGTACACAGGTCAGGGTCAAAACATTTAAAGTGCATTTTTTCACTTTGAAGCTGTGTTGAAAGAAGTGAGTTGGCAATGATATGTGACACCTGTGTGTTTAGTTTATGTCCTGGTGGTGATGGGGGGCTATTATATATAGCTGAACCCATCACCGATTGTCATTCAGAACATCATCACTCGGTGTAGCAGTCGTGTCAGCACGTGCTCAGTATATATCATATCACATAACCAGTGGTTTATCTGTATACCGGCCAGTGTATATTCTGTACACCACTGACAGAAGAGGGAAGCCACCGACACACTCTGCCAGGAATCTCCTGTTAATTGCTTCATTGACTTTCTGTGGATAGTGCTGGAGAAGCAGTAGTGATATTTTGGCAGAGGTTGTGTTCCTGTGTGGATTACCCACTGCATCAGAGACTGTGATTCTGTTCACCGGACTGCACCAGTATGCCTGTGAGTATAGCATGAATCTCAGTGTGCTTGACCACTGGTCATTTGTTCTATCAGTTACTGAGAAGAATTTCACAGCTGAAGTTGACATGATTATTTTCCAGTTTGTGAAAAGCAAAGAAACAATCCTTTTCAAGGGCATTCACTGTTTGTCAGCGAAAGTGTTTGTTTTTTTGTCAAATTTGGTAGTGGTATAGAAACATTTTGAAAGTTGATAACAGCATGAAAATGACATTCATTCATCTCATGCAAAATTCTGCATTAGGAACTAGGAAATTATTTTAGTCACATAGATTATCATACTCACTGAATATCAGACAGGCTAATTATAAAATATGTGATAACATCAGACATGAGGTTCACACAGCTGTGTATGACATGAGACAGGTACACACAACAGTGTATGACATGAGACAGGTACACACCACTGTGTATGACATGAGACAGGTACACAACACTGTGTATGACATGAGACAGGTACACACCACTGTGTATGACATGAGACAGGTACACAACACTGTGTATGACATGAGACAGGTAGTACACAACACTGTGTATTGCATGAGACAGGTACACAACACTGTATGACATGAGACAGGTACACAACACTGTGACATGTGAGACAGGTACACAACACTGTGTATGACATGAGACAGGTACACACCACTGTGTATGTATGACATGAGGCAGGGTAGTACACAACACTGTGTATGACATGAGACAGGTACACAACACTGTGTATGACATGAGACAGGTACACAACACTGAGTATGACATGAGACAGGTACACAACACTGTATGACATGAGACAGGTACACACCACTGTGTATGACATGAGACAGGTACACACCACTGTGTATGACATGAGACAGGTAGTACACACAACTGTGTATGACTTTTGGCAGGTACACACAACTGTGTATGTCATCAGACAGGTAGTACACATAACTGTTTATAACATCAGATTGATGTCAATTGTGTATAACATGAGACAGGTAGTACACCAAACTGTGTATGACATGAGACAGGAACACACAACTTTATAGAGAACGTCATCAGGCAAGTGATACTCACAGTTGTGTATAACATGAGACAGGTACACACCTCTGTGTATGACATCAGCGAGGTAGAACGCACAACTGTGTATGACATTGGGCAGGTACACACAACTGTGTATGATATACAGGTAGTACACACAACTGTGTATGATATCAGACAGGTAGTACACACAACTGTGTATGATATACAGGTAGTACACACAACTGTGTATGATATACAGGTAGTAGACACAACTGCGTATGATATCAGACAGGTAGTACACAAATGTGTATGATATCAGACATGTACACAAAACGGTGTATGATATCAGACAGGTCATACACAGAACTGTGTATGATATACAGGTAGTACACACAACTGTGTATGATATACAGGTAGTACACAACTGCGTATGATATCAGACAGGTAGTACACACAAATGTGTATGATATCAGACATGTACACAAAACGGTGTATGATATCAGGCAGGTAGTACACACAATGGTGTATGATATACAGGTAGTACACACATAACCGCGCATGATATCAGACAGGTAGTACAATACAAATGTGTATGATATCAGACATGTAGTACACAAAACGGTGTATGATATCAGGCAGGTAGTACACACAACTGTGTATGATATACAGGTAGTACACACAACTGCGTATGATATCAGACAGGTAGTACACACAAATGTGTATGATATCAGACATGTAGTACACAAAACGGTGTATGATATCAGGCAGGTAGTACACACAACTGTATGATATCAGGCAGGTAGTACACACAACTGTGTATGATATCACAGGTAGTACACACAACTGTATATGATATCAGACAGGTAGTACACACAACTGTGTATGATATACAGGTAGTACACACAACTGTGTATGATATCAGGCAGGTAGTACACACAACTGTATGATATCAGGCAGGTAGTACACACAACTGTGTATGATATCAGACAGGTAGTACACACAACTGTGTATGATATGACAGGTAGTACACACAACTGTGTATGATATACAGGTAGTACACACAACTGTATGATATCAGGCAGGTAGTACACACACCTGTATGATATCAGACAGGTAGTACAATAATAACTGTGTATGATATCAGGCAGGTAGTACACACAACTGTGTATGATATCACAGGTAGTACACACAACTGTATGATATCAGACAGGTAGTACATACAACCTGTATGATATCACACATGGTAGTACACACAACTGTGTATGATATCAGAGAGGTACACATGGTGGTACACACAACTGTTTATTACTTGCTCCTTGAAGATACTGCAGTGTAATATTTTTACGGTGATATTACACTAGTGTAATACCATTATACGTATGACGTGATAATGGTTTACAGTTATGACATCACAATGCTAATACCTATGTCACAGTGGTATCAGACCTTGCTTGACTCACGGTAAGCTGAGAGTCATCACACTGTAGGCAGTTTCTATCAATTTATGTTGGAGAGTAATACTAAACTCGCTTCCGTGAAATACCATTTCTATTAAACTCTTGAAAGATTTAGTATCAAACTAGCTTTTGCTCGTTTGATTCCAAATCATAAACTTGTTTCATAAAAATGGTATTACACGGAAGGTCGTTTAGCATCCACCATGTATGTGATTACATGAGGCAGCTGGTATGCACAAATGAGTATGTGACGAGGCAGTGTGATGCAATTAGTCAGACCCATTTTCTTAGTCCCCGCTGGAAGTTCCCTGACACGAAATGCAGGGTTGAAGATAAAGATAATTAAAGTTTATTCTGAAACTAAAATGTATCGTGTTTTGAGCGGCAGTGGTAAAAGGTATTGATTTTAGTTCAAGTAATACTTCTGCTGTGTGTGAGAGTTTTAAAACCAGCTAAGACGATGTATGATTGCATCAGATATCAGAATGTTTACATACAGCTGTGTTTACAAGAGAAGTCAGGAGTGAGGGTTATGTGGTTTAAATATTCACCCTACCTGAGCAAATGAGGTTGTAAACAAATTTAAGTCCAGGGTTTGCTGTCCCACTTCATTTCATTCTGTATTGGGGCGGTGGGGTAGCCTAATGGTTATAGCGCTATTCTCGTCACCCGAAGACCTGGGTTCAATCCCCACATGGGTACAATGTGAAGCCCATTTCTGGTGTCCCCCTCACCGCGGATGTTGCTGGAATATTGCTAAAGCGGGCGAAAACCAAACTCAGTCAGTCATTCTGTATTAGTTTGTGTCGTAGATTGGACTTAGAAGCAATCAATGCTAGTAAAACAATTGGTGTCTTATCATTAGATTATCCAGCCTGTTGGGGTAAGTCAGTAGTGAATGGAGCCAGGGTGTTCAGCATAATAACAGATATTCCACTGAGTAATAGGGAATGGTTCAGATTTTGTTATGTATGTAGAATGCAAAGTCAGCCCTGGTGTAGGTGTATTATAAAGCCATGCCAGAGCTGGCATCCCTTTGATAATAATTAACCCTTTCTAAAACAGTGAATATTTCAGTGATAGTGAATCCTTTGTAATATACAGTCCTTCAATAATAATCAATCCTTTCTATAATGATAAATACTTCAGTGATAGTAAATACTTCAATGATTGTTAGTATACAACTGTTGTTATTAGATGTTAGTGTAAAATAGTAGATAATCTGGTGTCCGTGTCAAACTGTTCTTATCAGGTGTCTGTGAAACTATAGTTATCTGGTGTCAGTGTGAAACTGTAGTTATCAGGTGTCTGTGTCAAACTGTAGTTATCAGGTGTCTGTGAAACTATAGTTATCTGGTGTCAGTGTGAAACTGTTGTTATCAGGTGTCTGTGTGAAACTGTAGTTATCAGGTGTCTGTGTGAAACTGTAGTTATCAGGTCTCTGTGAAACTATAGTCATCTGGTGTCATTGTGAAACTTGTTATCGGGTGTCTGTGTGAAACTCTTGTTATCAGGTGTCTGTGAAACTATAGTTATCAGGTTTCTGTGAAACTATAGTCATCTGCTGTTATTGTGAAACTTGTTATTGGGTGTCTGTGAAACTCTTGTTATCAGGTGTCTGTGTCAAACTGTTATCAGGTGTCTGTGAAACTATAGTTATCTGGTATCAGTGTGAAACTGTTGTGATCAGGTGTCTGTGTGAAGCTGTTGTTATCATCGTGTCAGTGTGAAACTGTTGTTATCAGGTGTATGTGAAACTAGTTACCAGGTGTCGGTGAAACCATAGTTATCTGGTGTCTGTTTGAAACTGTTGTTATCAGGTGTCTGTGTGAAACTGTAGTTATCAAGTGACTGTGAAACTGGTTGTTATCACGTATCAGTGTGAAACTGTTGTTATCAGGTGTCTGTGTGAAACTTGTTTTACAGGTGTCTGTTTGAAACTGTAGTTATCTGGTTTCTGTGTGAAACTTTAGTTATCTGGTGTCAGTGTGAAACTTGTTATCAGGTGTCTGTGTGAAACTTGTTTTACAGGTGTCTGTTTGAAACTGTAGTTATCTGGTTTCTGTGTGAAACTTTAGTTATCTGGTGTCAGTGTGAAACTTGTTATCAGGTGTCTGTGTGAAACTAGTTATCTGGTGTCTGTGAAACTGTTGTTATCAGGTGTCTGTGTAAAACTGGTTACCAGGTGTTTGTGAAACTACACTTATCTGGTGTCAATGTGAAACTAGTTATCAGGTGCCGGTGTAAAACTGTTGTTATCAGGTGTCTGTGTGAAACTAGTTATCTGGTATCTGTAAAACTATAGTTATCAGGTATCAATGTAAAACTAGATACCAGGTGTCTGTGAAACTATAGTTTTCTGTTGACAGTGTGAAACTAGTTATCAGGTGTCTGTGTTAAATTGTAGTTATCTGGTGTCTATGTGAAACTAGTTATCAGGTGTCTATGTGAAACTAGTTATCAGGTGTCTGTGTTAAACTGTAGTTATCAGTGGTTAGTGTAAAACTATAGTTATCTGGTGTCTGTGTGAAACTAGTTATCAGGTGTCAGTGTGACACTGTAGTTATCAGTGGTTAGTGTAAAACTATAGTTATCTGGTGTCTGTGTGAAACTAGTTATCAGGTGTCAGTGTGACACTGTAGTTATCGGTGGTTAGTGTAAAACTATAGGTATCAGGTGTCAGTGTGACACTGTAGTTATCAGTGGTTAGTGTTAGTGTCAGTCAGACTACAGTTTGTGGGTATTAATTTAATCTTTGTTCAATTGGCTTATTTATCAATCCAAAGTATGTGTAGTATAAGACACACTGCTAGAATAGCTTCCCTCAGATATTGATCCATAAATGGAAATACAGTGATATCTGGCATGACAGGGGAACACTGGCAGCTCTTAACATGCTCCTGTAGTAGGTGTAGTAATTTGGAAGGTTGAAGCAGTGGAGGATGTAGCTATGGATGTTGTAGTGATTTACGATCGTGTCATACAGATTCTGTGCATAGATACGTGATAAGTCTTCATACGTAACTCTCTGTCTGACGTGCTCAGACAGCTGAATGTTTTTATCAAATTGTGTATAGTGTTAGGTGAGAAGTGACAAGATACCCTCAGCTTTCTGTATGTCAAGGTCAAGGACATAGTGCCATCTACGGGTGACCTTGATGTTACAAGGATGACATATATCGTTTAGAATCATTGCTCACACTGCTAAACTGGATTATAAAAATAGAAAGTTTTAAGCAGATCTTTGAGTGTTAATGTCTATTTCACATATGTTTCTAGATGTCTGACTTACAGCAACCTGGGGAGATATTTCATTGGAAACAATCAGTATAACTTAGGTGTTATGTCATAATTATCTTGTAAGCCACGGAGCTGATAATCAGATCTGAATAAACATTTTTTTCTAAGATGTAAGCTCTTTTGATAGACAGGCAACATTTTGGTGAGAATTAACCTTTCTGAAATAACTTGAAAAACATGATGCAATGCTATATTAATCTGGATTATGCATCTGTGAATAAACATTTTTTTCTAAGATGTAAGCTCTTTTGATAGACAGGCAACATTTTGGTGAGAATTAACCTATCTGAAATAACTTGAAAAACGTGAAGCAATGCTATTAATCCGTTGTTTGTGCATATGAACTAGAACTTCTTGTAACCCATAACAACAAATGTTTGTTCGTTGATCGGAGAGCTGAGAGTGGCACTTTTATGGAGTGACTATTTCAGTCTGGCTGTGCAGCCACAATGTCTGGTATTCTAGCCTGAGTTGAATCTCACTGGGCTGCATGTACTGCCACATCTCAGTGTATCTAGAACTGGAAGAATCTCACAGTACTAGCACTACTAGCACATGCTCAAGTTGTGCAGTGTTGGACTTGTCTCTTCATAGTCCCTTGTTTCTACCAAGCATCGTCACGTTGTTCGCATTGTCTGGCGATCAGATGCGTCTGGGTATAAGAGACTTGATGTGAAGAGCAGATCATTTGTGTTATATCAGCGCTTCACTGCAACACAACTCCTCATCGTCACTGGTCGTCTGATCATCATCACTGGACATTAGCAGTGGATATAACATATCATCACGCTGGATATAACATATTGGATATAACATTTTTCTAAGCATTTACTGGACATAAGTGTATTACACAGTGCAAAGAACAGTTATAGCGGATATAGCCTTTTCAGCATAAATACTTTATTTGGATCGGTGGATGTAACATACTATCAGCCTGGATATAACATATATCGGATATAACATTTTTCTAAGCATTTACTGGATATAAGTGTATTGTACAGTGCAAAGAACAGTTTATATAGTGGAAAAAGTCTTTACAGCATAAATAACTTATTTGGATTGGTGGATGTAACACATTTTGTACGGCAGACGTAACATATACTGGCCCCAGGATATAACATAGATGCTGTACACTGGATTGAACATTCACAGTTGACAAGTGGATATAACATTTATTCAATAGAGTGGATAAAGTGATACTCCATAAACATACTTCATTGGATACCAACATCTGTCACCATGACAATATGGTCTCTGTGTTGTGGGTTAGTGCCGGAGCCAGCTGAAGAGGTAGTAATCAGATAGTTTTCAATAACACTTCAATGAAAACTCTCTAGTGTGTCATCTTGCGTTTGAATACTGTGGTTTCAAAGTGGTGGATCATGCTGGGCACATCAGCAGTAGTGGGTTTTAGGGGTGCTTGTCTCTAAGATCTTAGTGCTCAAAATTTGGCAGTTTCAGAGCTAAGTACTTTGGAACAAAGTTGAAAGATGACTCAGATAGTGTAGCAACATGAATATTAGAATAGCCTAGTGGTTAAAGCGTTTGCTCGTCATGCCAAAGGCCCGGGTTCGATTCCCCACAAGGGTACAATGCATGAAGCCCATTTCTGGTGTCCCCTGGGGCGGTGGGGTTGCCTAGTGGTTAAAGTGTTCGCTCGTTACGCCGAAGAGCCGGGTTCAATTCCCCACATGGGTACAATGTGTGAAGCTCATTTCTGGTGTTCCCCCACCATGATATTGCTGGAATATTGCTAAAAGTGGCTGAAACCCAACTCACTCACTCACTCTGGTGTCCCCTGCGGTGATATTGCTGGAATATTGATAAAAGCGACGTAAAACCATACTCACTCACTCACTTACTCTCGGTAATAAAATGATAACAAGGTGCAGACATGCATTAAACCTTTGCTGAGATATGCCTGTGATATTACTGACAGTGCTGTAATAATGCCTGTGATACAGTACTGGCATTGCCATAGCTTTGATATTGCCCATATTACTGTTACTACTTATCCAACATCAGTTGTCCATGACTACATGTCTGAAATAATTATGTAGCTGACATTTATTGCTGTGAACAATGGCTTTCTGTCATATAATGTGTTACTCTGGAACATGACGCCATGTGGAGGTACACGGTATTACTTTGGTCCAGAGCCAAAAGTCTCATTCAACAAGGTGTTTTGTCACGCGAAATCCTTCCAGTTTGTTTGTTTAATTTTTAAAGCCGCACTCAGCAATAGTCCGGCTATATGGCAGCGGTCTGTAAATAATCAATTCTGGACCAGACAGTCCAGTGATCAACAGCATGAACATCCATTTACGCAACTTGGATACGATGACATGTGTCAGCCAAGTCAGCGAGCCTCAGACCACCCGATCCTGTTAGATGACTCTCACAACAAGCATGGGTTGCTGTAAACCACTTCTATCTCGGTAACACTAGTAGAAAAACTCCCAGTAAAATTAATGGGTCACTATTTTGTCCTATAATTGCCTTCGTCCAATAGATCCTTGAATATGTCCTACTTCATCACAAGGTCCTACTGTCCTACTCCCCCCATATGATATCCAGAACCACCCGACCTCAGGTCAAGGCAATCCAGGGCGACCTGCACCAGTTTTTTACTGATAAAGTATTCAACTACTGATATGTAAATTTATAGTTAATAGTACTGACAGGTGTGTGTTTTTCCAGGGTTTTTTTCCAGTCTTCCTTCATACAGCAGAATCTTGCTGAGTGAGGCACTTATCGTTAAACCAAAAATACATACACCAGTACTATTCTAAAGAATGATGTCTTTCATGTGGCATTTAGAAGTTGTAATAAAATTGATGTCCAAGATAAGTTTTATGGATTAAACTTTTTTAATTTATAAATGGCAAAATAAGATCCCATTCCAGGTCCCTCCCATTGAAGGGACCTGGAATGGTCTCAAACGGATTTGTCAGAGAAAATTAAGGCACGCTAAGTTTAATCCATAAAATTATCTTGGATATTCTAAAGAAGTTAAAATCACTTGATTGTTTCCATCTGACTATTTTTATTGGTTGGTTGGTTTCTAGTTTAACGCGCAATCAGCAATATTTCAGCTATATGGCGGCGTCTGTAAATAATGGAGTCTGGACCAGACAATCCAGTGATTAACAGCATGAGCGTTGATCTACTTTTTAATCAGCTGTAGTAGATGTACTATAGACATATGAAGACAAATCATGTGTTCTTAGCTTCTGTCTTGTAGCATACATCTATCCACATATCATACATCTGTATGTATCCCTGTACTAACTGATTCATTAACTGAAATAACTGACAAATCTCTTTTACTGTTTCAGGCTGTGCCACCCAAGACTGGAGGTAGGTGATATGCTATATGTTACAGCTGTTACACTCTCTTAGTGTTATATCTGTTAAGCGGCCTTCACACGGCAAACTAAAGTTTGACAACACATGTTGTCAAACTCGAGTTTGTAGAGTGTGAACATTCCAACAACTCGCCACCAACACCAATTTCAAAGTTGTCAAACTGTTGTCGAGAAATAGGATCGGTCTCTATTCTCACCAACTTTTCCATGAAACTTTCGGTGTTGTCAAACTACAGTTTGATGTCTGAAGTGTTGTCAAACTCATGTTGTTCAGAAACAACCAATCGCAGTCAACGAAATTGTCACGTGACCGCACCGATAGAGACATGGCGCTCAAAAGACACGAAAGTTTGACAACGTGTTTGACGTGTGAAAACGCGAGTTTGACAACTTTTAAAATTTCAACAACATCTATTGTCAAACTTTAATTTGACGTGTGAAGGCCCCTTTAGAACCTATGTGTGGTACATTTGCTATATCCTGTGTGTTATATCGTTATATATTAGTCCTAGGCCAAATGTTAGAAAAGTCCCTATCTTTTAGGATCTCTCAGCAGCAGTAAAAGCGTTATCCAGTAATTGGTATGACAACTCCCACCCTCCAGAGATTCTTGTCAATGTGGAACTAGACACAGAATGTATCAGGTTGCTGAAAACAAACAAGGTTTACCCCGACTGTTGAAACAGTGTCCACATGTTCATGGACCAACTGCATGAATATTCACCACATGATATAATGGATGGTGACAAGCACTGGTGTTCAACATGATCAGGATATGCAGTGTGGGTGATAAGGCCTGGTGTATCATATTACCTGATAATGATGTTATCTCTACATTTGGCCTAGGAGTAATATGTTATAACCTCTGTGTGATAAAAATATAACTTACACAAGATACAATACAGGGATGTTTTCGATTTGAAAACTAAAAAACCTGGTTTGATATATAATTGCCAATAAAATACAGACTCGTTCTGCTGGAATTGTGGAAGGGAATCATTTGGTGCAAGAGTTATTACATTATGATAGTGCAGCATCTCCATCATGTGTGCAATATATCACTTCATCACAGCTGCTGATGGTGTGGGTTACAGTGTACTGTAACCTAGTACTGTAACGTAGTGTGACAGCGATTGAGTGTGTTTCTGCTGCTGCTGCTATTGTGTTTGCACTGTCCACACTGCTGATGGAGTTATGGTAAGATTGGGCGTGTCGTGGATCGTGTAACGTAGTGTCATGTAATGTAACCTTGTGCCCAAACCAGACAACCTACAAACACAGTTAATATACCCTAACATTCTATATACACATACCGGCAGTAATATGTACATAACCTGTGTTGTCCATTGTCTGTGTACATGTGCTACTTTCTGTAACTCGTCGACATCTAACTTGTCTATACGTAATGTGATCGCTACAGAAACATTGCTCAATGTGGACTGTGGTATTTACACCAGCTTTTATTGCTTCCAGGATGGTGGGGTAGCCTAGTGGTTAAAGTGTTTGCTCGTCATGCTGAAGTTTGATTCCCTACATGGTTACAGTTAGTCTGTCTCACAGTCCCTAAACCACATTATTTTCACTGAAGGGGTCATTGTCGACACAGGTACTACAGATACGTACCCCAGGTACGTTTCTGTATACAGATATGTACCCTAAACAAAATCAAAATACAGAAACGTACCCGGTACCCTAAAAGGTGGACGAGTCCATATTCCGCAATCCAAAACCGAAACTGCATGTAGTTGTTCCCGTTCAACTGATTGCGAGTGGTATTCATATGCATCGCGAAATATCTGTTACTGTGTATTCTCATTACTTACATAACGCAATCAAATGTATCTAATACAACAGTATGACAGTTCCGATCAAGAATATGACACAATGGGAATGGAATCGTCCTAGGGTACGTTTCTGTATTCTCATTATGGCCAGGGTACATATCTGTATACAGAAACGTACCTGGGGTTCATATCTGTGGTACCCTTGCCGACAACGACCCCTTCAGCATTATTTTCCCTACTGACTAGCCCTTTCTGCAGTGCTAAAGCTCGAAATGAAGCAAGTCTTGATTTCCTCAGGTTCTGAATCTCTGGTCTCCCTGGGGCTCCTTTTCAATTTAAATGGGCTTGTTTGTTACTATCAAAATTATATATATTCAGAGACTATGCGTTAGACTAGGGTTCCAATGTGTGAAGCCCATTTCTGGGGTCCCCGCTGTGATATTGCTGGAATATTGCTAAAAGCGGTGTAAAACTAAACTCACTCACTCACTTTTACTGCTTCCTGAGATGATGAAGGCTACAATGCTCATAATTGTAATCTGTTTGTATTGATAACTGAGGGAATTTTATCACTGATAATGCATGTGCTTTTTTTTGATAACTGAATTGAGAATGTATTGATGATAACAGGGGATATTGTATTGATGATGACCAGGGATTGTACTGAAAACTGTATCAGACTTGTATTGATGGTAACAGTGGGAAATGTATTGATGATGACAAGAGGAATTGAACTGATAACAGTAGTGGAGCGGCAAAGATCCAGTTTTCATAAGAATTGTGCATTTGATGATAAAAGCACCAAAATTGGTCATGATATAAAAGAACATGTCTGAAATAATTTTAGATATGAAGGCACCTGAAATTTTGCATGTGTGTCCATGCGCAGTACATAAACTATGACATACTATTTTCTGCGTTTTCCCTTAAAGAATCAGTATAGCCAACCATAACACACTTATAATTTTATAAATAGTGATTTACAGGTACATGCAATGACAGGAAAATTCATAAATTTCGAATAATACAAAACATTTCTAAACAATGAACACTCCCTCTTTCCAAAATGGCGGCTAGCAGACAGCTTTTTGGAGTATGAATCTCTCTGACAAAATGTATGTATACTTGGGATTTATCTGATCGAAATAGACTGTAATTGCACATAATATGTAGAAAAAGAACTGCAGCACAATAAATATAAAAGTAAAGTTGTGCGTTATTCTTAGCAATCACAATATAAGTGATTATTCCCCAACTTCATGGCCCAAGGACAATCAAGGGAGATAATCCAAACTTGCCTTTTTCAAGGGAGCAGTCATTTTTTCCAGAGAAAAATCACTTTACTAGTTTAATTGTTTAATTAAATTCACAGCAACTAATTTAGTGCAAAAATGCAATTTTATTGATGTTCAATAGCTATTTTGACTAATTCTATTTTCAAAATATCATTAATATTTTTCGTTTGGTTAAAATTTTCCCTAAAATATTCTATTTTCACAAAGTTAAGTTGCAAGAGTTAGCTTTCCAGAAAGATGAAGATAATAAATGTTTATGGTCAAATTGGTCAAACATGAAATTTTCTTAACTTACAGGTGCCATGCCAGCTATGATACAAATCACAAGTTAGGATATTGAATGTGGACTTCATGCTTAACAATAAAACCAAATATGTCGAAATTCAAAACTATAGACACATCAAATTCACCAACTGTCTCCACATCCGACTGTATGAACTGGGAACTGTGTATCATTTGTCAAGAGCAGAAAAATGACTGTCTCCAGTGTCCAGCACAGACAAAGAGGAAAGATATCTGAAGCGGATATAAATCGTTCGCTGATAATCTAAGCAGGTTCATTAATTTAAGAGATGTAAAGAGCTTACAGTTAGCTTGCAAAATAGATGATGGTTCTGGTGTTGAGACTTCTCTGACTGCAAAAAATGGCAAAGTGGCATAAAACATGCAGACTCCTCTTTAACAATAAAATGATACAAAGAGCAGAAAAAAGGTCATTGAAAGAAGAAACCAGAGAGACAGGTAATGGGCCGAGTATGTGCAAGCGCACCAGATCTTTGTTTTCAGTACCATCAGACACTCACAAAACTCACTGTTTTTTCTGTGAACTGCCCACAGCTGGGACTGATGTTCTTCATGACGCAGCAACATTTGAAGTAGATAAACGAGTTCGAGAATGTGTTACGCTACTTGAAGACACTACCTTATTAGCAAAGTTAAGCATGGGTGATATGGTTGCCTTGGAAGCCAAATATCATAGTAAGTGTTTGGCGGCACTCTACAATCGGGCAAGAGCGGCCAGGATTACAGAAGAATCCACAACTGATTGTGAGAGGAAGGTGTCTGGTATTGTATTTGCTGAACTTGTCATGTATATAGAGGAAAATCGCTTAGGACAGTCCACTGCTCCAGTCTTCAAACTTGCAGACCTTGCATATCTCTATGCATCTAGACTGCGACAGTTTGGGATTGACCCTGATCAAAGAGTACATACCACTCGATTGAAGGAACGATTGCTTGCTCAGTTTTCAGATTTACAAGCCATTAACACGGGCCGAGATGTTCTCCTTGTATTTGACAAAGACATTGGCAATGCTTTGACAAAAGCTTGTGAACATGATAGTGACTCTGATGCTGTTCACCTTGCAAGAGCTGCGCAGATCGTACGCAAACAGTTATTCAATGATGTTACATCATTTGATGGGTCATTCAGCAAAAGCAGCCAAGAAGACTCTGTCCCAAGTTTATTGACAGCTTTAGTAAGCATGATACTTGAAGGACCAAGCATAAAAGACCAAAGTCATGAATCCTCTTCTCAGGCCACACTTACTATATCTCAGCTTCTAAAATACAATAGTGTCAGACACAAGCGCTCAACTCCGATAAGTGTAGCCTCAACACGGCACAACCTAGATAAGGAAACCCCAGTCTCTATTTACATTGGATTGATGCTTCATGCCCCGACTCGGAAAAGGGAGTTGGTTGACAAGTTACATGATCTTGGCATAAGCATCTCTTATGACAGAGTACTCTATATCTCAACTGATTTAGGCAACGGGGTGTGTGAACACTTTGAAAAAGAAATGTTGTTTGCCCTCTGACATTGCAAGGTCAAGTCTTCACAACTGCTGCTGTTGACAACATTGATCACAACCCAAGCTCATCAACCGCCAAAGATTCATTTCATGGAACTA